GCCATGTGGTTTGGGGTAAGAGCCCCTGCCACATGAGCTGTGCCCAATCAGAATCAGAGCTCAGGGAATGAGACAGGGTGAACATTAATGGTAATGAATCCTTGGCAGAAGAGATCTGTTTGTCTCCTCCATACCAAGATTTGGCAATGTGCTTGTATGCACAAGGACCTTGAAAAAAGTATGCTACTTGAAGAGCTGTTTGACTCTAATGGGACTGAAACACAGGGTTTCCTGCACAAGTGCTCATGCCAAGTTCAGCAGCTCTGAGAGCAGTGGGTCATGTGTACTAGGACCTGTATTTTGGTGCAGACCTCCTCTGCCCAGCACTGAAGCCTGGGACATGGAAGTCTTCTGCAGTGGTTGAATCAGAGTGTGGAGTTGAGCTGGAGGGCCTCATCAGAGGAAGAGAAGTGACAAGGCCAGGTAGTGCATCCCCCTGCCGTGGGACTCCCAGGATTTCTCTCCCTTGCTTCTTTGCTCTCCTTGGAGGCTGCTTTTTTCAAGTAATACAGTGATGCTGCTGCTTGCTTCTAAGGCATCCAGAGCATCTTAAACTTTGTGCACAGCCCTGAATTACCTCTCAAAAGTAAACTGAACTCAGCAGATCAAAACACATTATAGTTTTCTGCTGGACACTACAAGCTCTGAGAGGCTGTAGTATGTGTGTTTGTTATGAAATGTGCCTCTCTGGTGATGATTATTTTTGTTACAGGCAGAGTTGGCTTTAGTTTCTGTGTGTAAGGTCCAACAATAACAATGAGCCCTGCTCTCATGGGATGAGGGAAATCCAGAGGGGTTTAATTGGCAGGAAATTCAAGTAGGAGAATGCCCTGCTCCCGGCCTAAGGTTTCAGCATGTGCCTGATGGGCTGCAGCACTGAAAAACCCCAAGTGTGGGTGAAGGTTCCTGGGGCCTGGCTGTTAATTTTCGGGCCCTTGAGAGATGATTTCTTGTTTGCAGCCTGGGGGAGGCAGGGGGAGACTTCATCAGCCTGGATGTCTCCAGCAGGTCAGGGCAGGGGAAAGAGGTATCTGCATCTTGCAAAGGGTAAGCAGCTCAGCTGCTGATACCCATCTCAATGGGAAACTTTGGAGTTATCCACTGTACGCCTCAGCATTTGCAGGAGTCTTTTCCTTGTGAGCTTCTCCAGGTCTTCCTTTCCCATCCCTATGGCTTGGTTGTTATCCTCTGATGTAGTTCCCCTTTAGGTGTGGTCCTCAAAGGAGAGAGTTGCAGGGTTAATGTAAATTATGTGGTGACCCTTAACAAAAGAGGAGATCTGCAGATTTTCCATTCTGAACATAGCCTGCTACAACACTGGAGTGTCGACCTCCATTGCTGCTCTCCTGTGGCCTTGCTACTCCTCTGGGCCCTCCACCATGTGGACTGTCAGGGGCCTCAGCAGTTTTCTTTCAATGCCTGCATTTTGCTTACCGAGCAATGGGATGTCCCATGCACCTGGCAGACTTGGCTTGTACTTTGGAATTTAATTTTAATTTTATTAAGTGAATTCAGGACTGGCAAAAGTTGACAGAGCCCATTAGATATGGAGCACATCTTCCTTCCAAAGCATAAAGCCTGAGCAGTAGCTGTGCCACTCATCCTTTTTGTTTGTTTGTTAGGGTTTTTTTTGTTTGTTTTCTTTAATGGATTCAATGCATCAGTTTGAAAGACCACATTTATGTAGAAGCTTGACCCTCTGCTGTGTACAAAACAGATTGTATTTTATAGAGAAAGATGATGGTGGCATGACTACTGAAACAAACCCTTTGCCCATCAGTGGGCATGCTGATAGGTGTGGGGTTTTTGGGGTGTTTTGGGTTTATTTTGTTTTGTTGTAGGTGATCATCTGCTAGATACTAATCAGTCAAAAGAGAAAAACCCTGACAGAAAAATTACGGCGATATTAAAGTATTTTGCCTCTTCAGATAACTCTTAGAAGCCCCAGGTTCCCTGGTATGCCACCATATAGACAAGGCAGCACTGTACTGAAGTAGCCCCTTCATTTCTCTGGACCTTCTTGGGGTGTGGGGGATGAATGAGAGAACAAAATCTGTTCCTCTGAGAGACACATAAAAGCTTTCCTGCTGGTGGGTGACTTTCCCTGTGGCAGAAAGATGGTGACATTTTCCTGGTAGTATCTGAACGCCTGGGGTATGTGGCCGGTGCTCCTGTTCACTTAGTCATTTCACCTGCTTGTCCTATTTTGCTGCAGAGACCTGGGCTCCAGCTCATCTCACTCAAGCTGTCCTCGCTGGCACCAACAGTTCAACTTGGGCACCAAGCTGGCTGACCTGAAATCAGAATCAAGCTTAGGGTTTTCCTTAGTTCAGTC